ATTATTATTATTATTATTATTATTATTATTATTGTAGGTAAGGAGTTATTTATAGTTAGATAATTATTATTAGAGAATATTATTTTTGTTAGGTTATTAATTAGTTTCTTATTTTATTTAGTTTCCTTTTAGAGATTGGATTCCCTTAGGCTTTTAGAGTTTCACTCTATATATTGAGATGTATTGCTTTAGAATTAAATCAATAAAGAACAATATTTTCCAACCCTAATCTCTTCCTCTTATCTCTCGTTCTTCTCTTCCGCTGAACAAAGATTCGCGGTTCTCTCCCTCTTCTTGTCTCTTTTTCTCTTGGAGCTTGAAGAACTTCTTCCCTAGCCGGAGGAGGAGATGAAGCCTCTGCCGCCGCCGGTTCAGGTTGGGGAGATCAGCGCGGAGGAGTTGAAGCAGTATGATGGCTCCGATCCTAACAAGCCTCTCCTTCTGGCCATCAAGGCTCAGATCTATGACGTCTCCCAAAGCAGGTATATTCTCACTGTTTCAAACTTTGTTAAATGACTTTTTTGGGACTTTTTGAGAGAAACGAAAAGGTAAAAGCAGATGAAAAAAGTCAACAGATCCATGAATTTTTATTGTCCAAAGTTGTATTGTACGGTGTAACTGTGTAAGTGTTTTGATGCTCTTTTGAGCTTCTGGTATATGTTCATTTACATTTTTTCAACTCATTGAAGCACAAATAGTCTATACCCCGCTCGGATTTGAACCCGGATTTGAACATGTGACCTCCTTTTTGGGAGAGCAGGCTGCTGCTAGACCATAAGGTTTTTGGCCTTTTGATATTTTAGTTTACTTTGAATCTAAATACCATTTGTCTTCCACAACAACTTTGACACAAGAAAGATTTTAACCAAAGTCTGGAACTATGGGTGAGCAGGTGACATCAAATTTGTTGAAATTCTTCTTTGGTATCATTGCTAGTGTGAACCAGACTTAGGGGCTGTTTGGCAACTTCTGAATAAGATAAGTGCTGAACGAGTAAGAGGTCTGAACCATTAAGTGCTAAACCGTTAAGAGCCAGTATATTGCTTAACTATTCAGAGGCAAATGTCTGATCAATTCAGATAAGAGGTCTTAACCATTCAGACTCTATATAATACTTAACCATTTAGAGGCAAATAGGCAAATGCCTGAGTCATTCAGACATCTGAACCATTAAGAGGCTGAAACAAACAGTTTGAACCATTAAGTGCTGAACCATTCAGACATCTGAACCATTAAGAGGCTGAAACAAACAGCCTCTTAGTTTGAATAAAAAACATATTCTGTTCAACCCAATCATCTAACCATTTAGCTTTATAGTTTTGAAAGCTAATGTGCAAGGTTAAAACATTATTCAAATGTCAAAATAGATGCTGCTTCATTCAGGTTCTTGAAAATGGTTGCTTATCTTTATAGGATAAATCTGTAGTCACATCAACTTTTTGACATCACATATTCACATTTGACACCATGTGTTTCACACACATGCACAAACAATTATTGTCTTTGAAACACATCGTATCAAACTTTGGTGTCTAAGTCGGTGTGTCTATAGCATGATCATGGACTCCTCTTTCTAGCTTGACATATGTAACTACTACTATGTGTGTTTGTCTTTTTTAACATTTCTCTTTGTCTAATTAGCCTCATTTGGACTTAGATTTTTTTTTTTTTTAAAAAAATGAGACTCCTTTTAAAAGGGTTGAGTTTCACTTGTGCACATAGGCTTATGTGTATGTCTGTGTATCATGGCAGAATCTTTTACGGACCGGGGGGGACCTTACGCATTGTTTGCGGGGAAGGATGCTAGTAGAGCTCTTGCTAAGATGTCCTTTGAGGAGAAGGACCTCACGGGTGACATATCCGGGCTTGGCCCATTTGAGCTAGAGGCCTTGCAAGACTGGGAGTACAAGTTTATGAGCAAATATGTGAAGGTTGGAACTGTGAAGAACCAAGTCGCGGAATCTGAAGCAACTGCTTCTTCTCATCAAGATCCTTCAAGTGTTGAGGCCGTTAAGCACGGAGAAGATGTCTCGCCAGAGAATGGGGATGCTAAGGACAATGTGCCACCAGAAAACAACGTTGCTTCGGAAACCGTTGGCACTTCTCATGGCCTTCCAGACAAAGAGTAGGCCAAGGAAAATAGCTTTTTCTCAATGGAGAGCTCTATAGCAATACTTCAATGTCTTCCTATCATCTTTTTTCTTCTAAAAACTTTAAATTTAGTCTAGAATGCTTCTACAGACTGCTGGTATGTATCTCGTTGACATTTGGCCAGTTTGAGGCAATAATAAAATATCAATGCATACATTTTACATCTTTTCAAGAAAATTAAATGAAACCCTTTTAGATATCTCTTCCCCATTAAAATAAAACATGCATAAATCGCCTCTGTCACCGATTCATACCTCCATCGTCGCCGTCACCGATTCACAATGCCATTGTCGCCGCCTCCATGCACCCCTACCCTTTTTTCCTCAATCCACTTCAATTGCCGCTACCACTGCCGAATCACAGCGCAACCACCGCTGCCGCCATGCACCCCATCTCTCTTAAACTTGCCGCCGCTTGCTCATCGCCGATCTCCATTCCACCGCCCACCCCTTTTTTCAATCGATTACAATCGCCACCGCTGCCACTTAATCGCAACACCATCGCCACCGTCATGCACCCCCCACCCCTCTCAGATTCATCGTTGCACCAATGCCTAGCCATCCCACCTCCATCTCCCTCCTTCAAAGCCTGATTTCAAAAGTGGGTGAGTTCTCTCTCAATCTTTAATTGAATTTTATTTTCTTTGAATTTTGTCGCCAAACAGTTGAGTGTGGCATTGGATTTGGTTTGGCATTATGCTTTTGTGTGACATTTGTGAATTTACATTGTGACATTATATGTATGCATTTGGCGCATTATATTTTGTCATGTGTGACATTGTATGGTGTCATGTTTGCCATTATGTCTTTGGCATTAGATTTGATTTGGCATTATGCCTGTGTGTGACAATGTAAATTCACAGTGTGGCACTATATTTGGGCATTTGTGGCATTATATATTGTCATGTATGACATTATGTGGTGTCATATTTGCCATAATGTCTTTCTTTGACACTGTATTGAAAATTAATGTGACATTGCAACGATGACAGTGCAAATTGTGATGCTAGTGTGGGTGAAAATGGCAGAGAGTGGTGATGTCGATGGTAATGGTGAAAAATCAATAGCGGCAATGGTGGATTTTGACAGCAGAGGCACAACAGCGACGAAGCAGGGCTTGGCGGTGACAGAGAATCAAGTGATATTGGCAGGGACACGGCGGTGCCAGCGGTTGGAGCGTTGCAACTCGGAGTTAGTGGGCATCAGCATCAGCAACAAGTTTGGAGTGGAGCATTGTTGATGAATTGTTTTCTTTTTGCTTTGAAACTATGAAAGATGAGCAAAAGGAGCAACGCATGGGGATTGAGATGTGCGAGAAATGTACACATGATTTGTATGCACATTAATTCTTATCTCAGTGATCGTCAGATCGGATCGGAAGAGACCGTCGAGATGGAGTTCATCCGTTTTTTAGGGGTGGGCGCGGTCTGTGACAACGCGTGATACTACCGAAATCTTTCATGGACCGCTCTTGTTTAAGCGATTCGGTATCTGTACGTGATGAACCCTAAACGCATTCGGTACCATTCTGTTTTGGAGCGGAACAGTATAATATCATACGCATGCTCAAACCGTGCTGCTTTTCTATACAAAATTATAGTTTTAATTTAATATTCTTTCAATAGTGCATGTTTAAAAAAGGGGTATTTTCGAAATTTTAAAGAATCAAACATAAAAAATAAAAGATAACGAGTCCAAATTTTAAAAATAGATTTTTTTGAATTCGTACAATATCAGACTATTAATAATTTCTAAAAGTTATTGCTCATAGTAGTAATAATAGTGAAAGGATAATAAAAAAGAATAATACAATACGATGTACTCCATATACGGTTAGATGAAAGTAAACAGATAAGTATTTGAGATATTCCGTAAATAGCTTTGAAGAATTTAGTCCGTCATAATCGATTTTAAATATTTGTATCACGGTCACGTTCCATTTAATATCAGTTCGATTTTGGTCCGGGATAGAACAAATCAATCCCATTCCATATTATTCGGTTTTTTTGCCCACCCTACTTTTTTTCATTTACCATTGAGTAATTCTCTTTCATAGTAGTAGTGTATCACTAGTACTATCCAGAGGCTAGACAGAGTCCAAGGAAGGTTGCTGTCAAGTTGCATATTGCCATACGCCACTGATCTGTTCTTTTTGGCTGCATTTGTGGGATCTCTACCCAAACGTGGGCTGATCTAACAAATGTTAAAAATAGAAGAAGACAATACCTTTTATCCTCTCTATTCCCCTGTCTCCTTCTTCTTCATCACTTCTTTGGACATGAATCTACTTCATCACCATCATCATCATCCTCCTCGCGCTTCGTCGATTCTGCTTCTGGTTATTGTTATACCATAAACTCTCAATCGTTCGAATTACTGCAGGCGCGTCCATCTCAGTGTCGCCGAAGAAGGAGAAGATGACGAAGAATCAAGGTCGCCGGTGATGGATTCTCCGCACGAACAATTGCGGCGGCGGCGGCAAAGAGGGCCGCCGCACATCTGATAGAGGTTACGCTGTTTCCAACAAGGTTGTTCCCGGCGGCCCCAACCCGCTTCACAACAATTGAAGGATGATTTGTGCACAGCCATTCAGAATGGACATTGAAAATCGATTTGCCATAGCTTGTTCCTTCTCTAATCAAATTTGCTTGGTTGTACAGATGTGGTATAAAAACACGAGTTTCATTTTTATTTTAACTAGTATTTTAACCCGTGCCGCGCACGGGATCGAACGAATTTATTTCGATTCTGAAATTTTTTAGTTTAATATTTTTTTCAGAATAATGAAAATAGATTTCTCACATAATCTTTAATACTATAAAAAATGACAAAATCGAATAAATAATATTTGAGGAATTAAAAATGTACTCAACAAAGTTTATTCAATATTTTTAAGGTATACAATATTTTTGGTATGGTTTCAAGAGTTTTCATTGACATCTAGAATCCATATTTTTAATCTTGTATTTGTGTCACTTATGAAACAGTAATATAAAGCTGATCATGAGTGGATATTGATTTGGTTAAAAATAATTCAACAAAAGATAATGTTTGACCTTGACTTTTGTTGATAGTCATAGCAAAACATAAGGCTATTGGGTTTGATGGTACCAAATTTATTTGGGGTATATAAACTTTTTCTCTAACTCAATTTCCCGAAACAACAGTACCACCGATGATGTTCTTTTGCAGCTCGTCAACGATTAATCTTTTACCACTATACAATCCAAATGTTTGGCCAATGTTATTCAATAACATAATCGATACCCCCTTTTTTAAAACAATTTTGTGGGTTGGGATTTTTTAAAATTCAATTTCATTCAAAAATTAAAATGTTGTTTATCCTCCATCAACACTTACATCTGAACCTGTCTGGCATATGGAATCATAAGTCAAGTACTCCATTTTATCTCTTAGAATGAGGGATAACACAAATTCATTTATCATTTCTACAACCTCAAACGCGGGTGTCAGTAGGGTCATATTCTAAAAAACAATAAATTTTCATACTCTCCAATAGGTTCGGATAAGTGAAGTCCACTATACTCTTGAAGGGATAACTTTGTTGTGTCTAAAATCAAGAATTTAGGTGAAATTTCAATGTCACCAGTTCCATCAATCACTTGTCCAAACTTTCTCTATCCAATTTTGATTATCATATCAAAAAAGCTTGTATGTCCTTATGTGCGCAAGCAGATATAGATGAATGTAATATCATATTTTTGGTCAACGTATAAACTTTACAATATGACCATAATTTTGAGGAATTCGCGATGGTGCCTACAATTTCCTCTCTCGAAGATCTGAGTAAACTCAAAGATTCTGGCAAATATCACATCCAAGTACAATTATTTTCCTTCTAAATGATTCATTTCTGGAGTTTTTAGAAACAAACATCATTACATCTCTCATTGTGTGGCTCAATGTCTCAAAAGCAAATCTATTAATCGTGTATGTTTCATCTTATATGATTAGACTTAGTACCTTTAAGTGTGTAAATACTAAGCATTTTTGTACCTTTTATTCATTAATAACTTTTATTATATTGTCCAAATTGTATGTATTTTTTATAAGTAAAGCTTGTACCATATAAGAATATAACAATTAAATTTTAAATTGGAAAACACTATTTTTAAAGCATAACTTTTATTAGAATTAGAATTGTTATACTCAATATGGAATATTATTAATGCTCCATTATATAACATGCTAATAATTCAGGAAAAGGAAAATATATGAAGAGAAAGAAAAAGTTTTATCCTTTGCTTACGAAATTTATAATCAATGTACTACTATTTATTATTATGATTTTTATTATACGTAATTCCAATCCTTAGTTTATATTGTTTTTGTTGAGGTTGTGAAAACATTGTTCGAAATTTAACTTTACATTTTTATTTTTTAAGAATTTTTTTTAAAATCAAATTTATATTTTTTAATTTTCTTTTTTTATGAAAAAACATTTGTCTATCAAAAAATATAAAACTACTTGAGTATCATTAATTTTTTTAAATTAGTTTTAAATACACAATAAGGAAATTCCAAGGAATATAATAAGAAAAGTTCTAGTCAATGTATGATTGCGGACATGTTTAAAAAAATTGTCTACTAAATATGCCACATGTAATTTTGGAAGCCGACTCTTAAATTTTATATATAATGATTTAATATTTGTAGTATCACTTTTAAGCACGTAAATATTAAACATTTTATACCTTTTCTTCATTAATAACTTTTATTATAGTTTCCAAATTCTATATATTTCTCTATAAACAAAGTGTGTACCATTTAGTAATATAAAAATTAAATTTTAAAATACACAATACTAATTTGAAAATGGAGCATAATTTTTTGTTAGACCTAATTTTTTTATTGTGTATGAAATGTTATTAATACTCTCTTAAATAAACATGCCAATAAAAATCAATTTCGTTTAAAATATTGTTTTTTTCAAATTAGGAAACTATTTCTTTAAATGTTAGTTTTTAAACGTTAGTTATTATTATTATTATTATTATAATTTTTATTATTATTATTTTGCATAGTTCCAGTCCCAAATTTTTGCTTTTTATTGAGATCGTGAATATGCATTTCAAAACCCAAACATATATTTTTATTTTTTAAAAGTAATAAAAAATCATTTTATATTTGTTCATTTTCGTTTTTAAGAAATTTCCGAAGAAGATGAAAGTAGTGTATGCGTATTCCATGAATTAGTTCTTTATTTTGCATTTTCCTTTTATGGATGGATTTATTCTCTGCCACATAAGCTTGCCATCACACAATTAGTTCTTTAAGAAGGCGACACATCAGCTCTGCCACATGTCACATTATAGCTCTGCCAAATGTCACATTATAGCTCTGCCAAATGTCGCATTCCTGCAACTCCGAGTCTGCTTTATATATATAAAGGATAAAGGATTTTTTAAAATTTTATACTCGTAAATTGTACTCCGTATGCTTATCATTCTTATCACAAATAAATTGTGGCATAATGTTAATTTAATACGGAGTATCACTATTTTTTTTGTACTAATATACTCTAAATTGTGTCATTGTACTCCAATTTTTTGACTTAAAAATCTAGACTTTATTTAGTTACTAGTATTTTAACACGTGTTTTGAGACAATTTTTTGAGACTAGTATTTTAACTCGTGTATTCTAATTATTTGAGACGAATTTTTTTCTTCCAATTCTACAACGTGCTTACGTGCATTACAAAAAAGAAATATTTTAAACTAGAATTAAAAGTATGAAAATACTAAAATAAAAGTCCTAAGTCTTTTAAAACTAGAATAATAGTGTATTTAATGGCAGTATGGTGCGAAAGTACGTGCAGTGTTGGCAGTTTGACGGAAAAGTAGTAACAGTTTAATATATCTGTGTGACCAGTCAATTGTCTGTGATCCACCAAAAGCAGATATCCAAAAGTTCTTTGGATATATGAGAAAAATACGAAACACAAGTGAAGAGACGTATAATTATTTGAATGAAGTTCCACTTGAAGCGTGGATTCTATGTTTTGATAGTGGTTTTATATGTGGGATTCTCACCGCAAATGGTTTTGAGAGATTTATCGTACAATATACTTAAGGGATGTCAGATGTTACCAATCACAGAAATTTTGACGATGTCATACCATAAAATGGTTGAATCGTTTGCAAAAAGGTACAAAATTGCTCTTCAATGCCAATTAAAAATGACCGTATTACACCAAAAATCATGAACATCATATACTTCGGAGTCGTGAAAAAAACACAAGTGGGGGTAGTTGCATTCTACGGTAATAATCAGTATGTTGCTAGTCACACTTCTTGTTCTGATCCATCATCGATCTACAGCTACATGGTGGATCTAAGGTCTCGTGTATGTACTTGTGGCCGATGGACTGCCGATGTTATTCCTTGTGTTCATGTTCCCCTTGTGTTTCACTCATTTCAAAAACTTTTTGATGACCTCCACCCCATTAGGTACTCTGTTTAGAGTTATATCATTTGTTACAGCGGAGGGATTCAATTAATCATTTTTTTCACAAATTTTTTATTGCACCGACTTTCATGTAAATCTCTTAGTGAGGTCTGAAGGAGAGATTCCACGTGTTGGGAGACGTAAGCGCAACTGATACCAAGGAGTGATGGATCGCAGGGCAACTAGGACATGAATGTATTTGATATTTTGTTTGTGTTTTTATTAAGGAAAAATTATCCAAAATAATCCCAACTTTACCCCGTCTTTCAAAAATAATCCCACCTTTCACTGTGATGCATAATAATCCCAACTTTACTGAAATTTGCCAGTTTTGGGTCGCCGTTAAGTTTCTAACGGAGGGTTAACGGAAATGCCCGTTTTAGGCAACAAAATGAAAGTTCGGATTATTTTTGATGAATTTTCATTTTTTTATTTTTTTTAAATTTTTTATTTAAATTTTTTAAATTACTTTCTACCTCCATCATCATTTCTTTTTCCTTTTTTAAAGATTAGTCTTAGCTTAAAAAATAAAAATAATAAATATAAAAAATGAAAAAATGAGAAATGTAACTAAAATGATACAAAAATAATAAAATAAATAAGGTAATCAATGGAAACTAACTTGAANAAGGAAAAATTATCCAAAATAATCCCAACTTTACCCCGTCTTTCAAAAATAATCCCACCTTTCACTGTGATGCATAATAATCCCAACTTTACTGAAATTTGCCAGTTTTGGGTCGCCGTTAAGTTTCTAACGGAGGGTTAACGGAAATGCCCGTTTTAGGCAACAAAATGAAAGTTCGGATTATTTTTGATGAATTTTCATTTTTTTATTTTTTTTAAATTTTTTATTTAAATTTTTTAAATTACTTTCTACCTCCATCATCATTTCTTTTTCCTTTTTTAAAGATTAGTCTTAGCTTAAAAAATAAAAATAATAAATATAAAAAATGAAAAAATGAGAAATGTAACTAAAATGATACAAAAATAATAAAATAAATAAGGTAATCAATGGAAACTAACTTGAATTTGGTAAAAGTAAAATAAAAGTATTAACATATCACTTCTTATTTTTTAGAAAAAATTATCTACAATAATTCCAACTTTACCGGACAGCTTGTTCTTTTAAGAAATAAGTACTACATTAAGACTCCGTATAGTATATAAAATGTTAAAACCTACCACTCCGTATATATTTATTTTATTTCTTACCATTTTCTGTTTAATTTCTATTGATTACATTATTTATTCGATTAATTTTGTATGGTTTTAGTTATTTTTCTCGTTTTCATTATTTTTTATATCTACTTTTTTTCTAAGGTAAGAATAATCTTTAAAAAAAAGAAATGGAGGTTGAAAGTAATTCAAAAAATTTAAATAAAAATTTCAAAAAAAATAAAAAAACAAAAATTCATCAAAAATAATCCCAACTTTCATTTTGTTGCCTAAAACGGGCATTTCCGTTAACCCTCCGTTAGAAACTTAACGGCGACCCAAAATTGGCAAATTTCAATAAAGTTGGGATTATTATGCATCACAGTGAAAGGTGGGATTATTTTTGAAAGACGGGGTAAAGTTGGGATTATTTTAGGTAATTTTTCCTTTTATTAATAATTACTTGTGTCCTTACAATTATTCATGTTAATATTTGATGTCACCATAACAAACACCGTACCATTTTGATGTTTGTTGTGTTCAATTCCTTACCATTTTTACTTTCTTTTTCATCTAAGAACTTCAATATTTTTTAATAATTAGAATTTATCGAAAAAATAAAGAAATGTATGTACCATACACTCTATATTTTTCTCAAAAAATAAAAATAGAAAAAGCATCGAAGGTTTGATTTTTTTGTGTGTGGAAATAATTACCCT